GACTAAGATTTAAAAAAAAATATTATACCAACAAGTTTAGGTGTGGCTCTTGCTGCAAAAAGTCTGGCCACTCCTGGTATAGTATATATGATAAGAGTAAAAATGTATTTCTATTTAAAAAAAATGTGTTTCACCTATTTTTTCCATTATACACGTTTCTTATAGTTTTTACAAAGGATGAATCATATTATGGATATAATCAATATAAACTTTAAAGTTAATAATCTTAAGTTGTTGTTAAATTCAAAATATGGAACAATGGAACTATGTTTCCGATATGACTAAACCTTGTGATAAAAAGAATAGTCTACTGTCATTAGTCACATATGAACATTGATATAAGTCTATTAATTAAAAAATATAAAGACCCAAAGAAGACACTTAAAAATAAAAAATAAAACAAATTAAATTATTTATATAATTTATATGACAAAATTATTAGTCCCAATAAAAGTATTAATTAATACAAATATAATAAAATGTAATTACAATGTTAATTGTAATTATTGTAGTATGTGTTTGTTTGTATAAGATTGTACCTTTTGACCAAAATTAGGATAAAAATCTATAAATACACGTGAAGTATTCTTTAAAACATAAAGTAAATATAGAATTAATAAATCTGAATAAAATGATGTATTAATTATACAATTTATCTAGGACGAAAAATCTAGCCATTTGTATATAAGTATGCAATAAATTATTTTTATTAGAATATCTAAATTAACTATCCTTTTGTAAATGAGATTTTCTTTTGTTTGTATTCTTTTCTTAGTAATAAGGACATACCTGTATGTTAAGTAAGTATATGTATACATTTTTCAGAAATGGATACAAAATAATGCAAGTTGAACTCATCTCTAATTTTTGTATTCAAACATCGGACGCACTCGGCAACTGTTCAGTTCCTTTAGTTAACAGGATAATATCAACAGAAAGAGGATATTCATTTTATTGATTGGTTGAAATCTCGGGAATTTTAATCCCAAAGCTCGGACTGGCATTGGGAACTATGGTGCACGGTGGGTACTTGGATAACAGAAATGTAGAGAAGTGAGTCGAAGTAATGATTTTTCGGATAGTATTGCAGCGGTCCTTCAATGTACGTACATTTATTACAAATGCGACATAGTCACCCTTTGAATAACATTAGGGATTCGTCGATAAAAAGTTTTGAAAAAAAGTTGAAAATTTTAATTCTTCAATATGTCTTATTATTCACAATTTATAATTATTGCTTGCTGGATTTTTAATTTTGCGTAAATTTGTCTGAAATAATTGAATCTGTCGACCAATAAAATGATTACAAAGGGAATAGTACAATCGCAGAGCATCAATATACTACTGATGTTAACCTACAAGACGATAGCCGACCAAGAAATTAAAAGACTAATGGTAAAAAAACTTCAAAAAACAAAGAGAATTTACTTAATTAATGTAAAATAAATACAGAAATTTGTATTTAACATTTAACGAATTTATGATTTTATATTTTGTAATTTAAATTCAGTAATTTTCAAGCATGTCTTCGGATGCGCTCGGCAACTGATCAGTTCCTTTAGTTCACAGGATAATAGCAACAGCAAGAGGATATTGATTGATTGGGTAATATGCTGGGAATTTTGTTCCCAGAGCTAGAAACGGCATTGGGAACTATGGTGCACGGCAGGTATCGGGATCACAGAAATGTATAGAAGTGGGTCGAGGTATTGATTATTCTGATAGCAATGCAGCGGCCCTTCAATATACACATTAGTAGTTACTACGTTTTAAGAGAATAAAATCATTTTATAAATATAAATATGTTTTAATATTTTATATGCTTGTAAATAGTATTTATCAAAATGATTTTTAATTTTACCTATGTCTTCTCAAAGATGAAACAAAAATAATAATTAGATTAGCTTTTATATAGCTTTTAAGTCAATCATGTCTTTGTTCGAGTATCCCAAACCATACCGCTATAGTATACGATTGCAGTTGTCTACCTCCAGGAAAGAAGTCTCTTTTATTTTTTAATAAATTGGGAAGACCTCGGTGTGGATGTTATAAATTATTAATTGTTATGTATTATTATAGGAAAGTATGTATGACGAAAACAAAATTAACTAAGACTGTATATATGTCTGGGCAATTCTGCTCCAGAAGAGCGTCTATGCAAGTTGGCAGCTGCAGAATTGGAAATTAATTGCAATTAGAAAATAAACGTTTTATTAATAAATTGTTGATGTTTGTCATATTGGTGATATTGATGCACAATAGGGAGTTTTAATGTTATTAAAAAAATTTGAATTTAAACATCAGTTGTAATCACCTGCTTTTACCACGGTTCGCGAAGAGGGAGTTCATTCACAGTTCGTTCCTTTATGAGTCGGCGCGTGCTCCGGTTTTATAACTTCAAAATTGTTGTGTAACTAGTTCAAATCAGATGAACTGTCTTCTGTTTTGAGAAAACCATCATCTGAGATCACAACTCCATTAGATTTAGCGGTAATTAAAAGTTAGTGATGAATCTGATTCTAAACAAAAAACATTTTTTTTGCATTGTATTGAAAGTTACCCAATTTGTTCGCTAATCCCTTACGTAGCTTGTGTTAAAATGTGCGTATTCCGCAATAACTCTTAATTGAGAAATTCGCGTTAATTAATTATAAATTAGGACACATAAAAAATGGCGCGTTCTTTTCTCCACTGTTTATTGTTGATACCAACGCATTTTTATTGCAAAAGAAATGAGAACTATGAGATGTTTGCGTTGTGCGCGTCCCTTTCTTAAGTCAATATCGTTCCAATTGGAATAAGGAAATTTTGGGGTTTTCTTATTAATTTTCTCTTGAAATTAAAAAGATGCTTTTGTGAACCGTAGACGACGATGCCTATCGACCGTGAGCATCATTTGATATGTTTAATCAGTTAAAATTTCTTATTGGAAATACTGATCAAAAGACATATTGAATTAAAACTGTGTATTTTTGCTTGTTTTTCTTACAGCTTCGGTATTTGTTTATTTATATGGATGCAAGGTATTCAAAAAAATGAGAACTAATGAGAATTAATTAACAAAATACGTTTATCACGTCGCAGTGATTTGCATGGAATGGCAAGACCGCCTGTGCTAAAACCTTCTCGAGGTGCATTCAATTCTTTTCACGTTTTCATATTTTTAAATTAATTCGCCAATTCAAAATTATTAATTAATTGATAATATTTTAATAAATTTAAGTTTAATTAATTTGAATGTGATTATGTTTTCTCTTTTTCGTAATGATAATAATTATGTTAATTTCATTTTGTTTCTACAAATGTATAATTTATATTGAAATTATTATGGCTTCAATATACTTTACTCGTTACTTCTTTGTTATTTTGATATTTAAGCATCTTAAGCAAATTTGTTTTTCCTTCAGTTTTATTTTGGAAAGTTTCTCATATTTCCAAAATCTGAATATTGTATGTTAGTGTGTGTTGTTTTGGTTTGAATGCAAGCTGAATGCTTTATTATTTCGAGTTATTCTCCATTTGTCGTCGGTTGTATTGTATTTATGTAATATCTGTGGGGATCTAACATATCCCCGCGTGTTTCTCTTTCAGCAGATAAAGTTCACCTCTGGACTGTTGCGCTTGATCTATTCCTTTTTGCTGTGAAGGTTCAGGTCTTGCTGCTGGGTTGGGCACTCTGGAGGTGGACCAAACTATAGAATTTCACAGCAAAAACCACAGACAAATTATATAATTAGGTGACAATTGATTATCCTAAATGTCCAATTAGGCAGTTATGATAATAGAATAGTTAGAGAACTAATTAATACAGTAAAGTGAAATTTGCTGTAAAAGTTAGTTCTCTTTTTCGTTAGGTTAGATTAAGTTGTATTTGTAATACACCCATTTTCCTCTTTAGTTTTATGTTAACAACTCAATCACTCTTACTAACTCTTAATAACCTATCCGAGGACTCTCCATCCTTTGCTAGAACCGCCGAGTCTCCGGTTCGCATTTACCTTTCTCCTTTCCCTATATCCCTATAACCCCTTACCACGAGGAATTGAATGGGTCGTAATTTATATTTTTAATTTGTAAAGCTTTCGGCGATTACTCAAAGCCTATAGAGTAGTCACAATGCTGGACATCTAAAAGCGCTTGATTATATTGTAATCCATTGCATATTACACATTCATAATATAGAAAAAAATAATATAAAAAGTATTAAGAAAGCCATATTAAATAAAAATATTATGTATAAACAAATATATACATAAAAAAATATTAAAAAAATAAAAATAAAATATGGATTAATAATATAAAAAAAAGCATGAGAGAGAAAATGGATGTTCCATTTATTCCTCTCCTGTTAAATATTATAATGATGTTCAATGTTCAATGTGCATTGCAATTTTATTTTTATTGTAATTATAAATGTGTATCGTATTTTTTAATACGATCTTATAGAGCAACGAATTCCACGTGGCCGCATCCCCAGGTGCCTGGTACCTAAGGTCTATTATCTTCTCTCGAAGATGATAACCAGGTATAATTTCAAGCGCAAAACATAGCCTCTGAATTGATTCAAGACCGTTTTGCATTTTACCTTCACGAGGTTGCACCTGTTTCTTACAGAATATGCTACGGATCTCGTTTTGATCCACTAGATTTACCATACACTGTTTTATCTATGGGATTAAAATTAAATTCTATATTAAAAATCATTCCAATTAATTATTTATTATTTTTATTTTCTTATTAAATTTATTTATGTGTGAGTAATAATAATTATTGTTAAGATATGAAATAAATGTATTTTTACTTGAAACCATCAATTAAATTTGTATACCAAAATAAAATACTGCGTTTTTTTATATACATATTTGTTACGTATTCAAAATACCTGGTCATTTTATGCGTTATTCATATTATCAATTAGTTTAAACTAGTACAATCGATTAAAGCTAGGAGAATGGGTTATGATATATTCATTACATACAAGTATATTGAGTTGCCTATCCTAACCTGAAGGACTTGACTGACAGATACTCATTTTACATAGATTGTTATTGTTTTTCGTATAGAAATCCAATCAATTAGTTAATTATATAACCTGAACAAGTGCTTCCATACTATGGTTGGATGAGGAAGTTCTCTGTGTCGTTAGAAGTTGAGGTGTTAATGTTTGGTTAAATTGTATGAACAGTGCAAATATGGCAGGGTTAGAAGGATTTTCAGGTGCCAATTTGAATTTAAACTTGTATGATACAAGGGATGATGCTCTTTGGGAAAGTGAAGGACTGCTTGTCCATCAGCAGATGCAGCGGAGCAGAAGCATGACTAAATCTAATGATGATGGTAATACAAAATTATTAATATCCGAATGATGTATGATTATTAACTGTCACTTTCAGACATAGCTCTAAAAAAGTATGTTGGAACTGGAGTCCAAGTAGTCAGCTTGATCGCTGAGAATCTATTATGCCATCCATTTGTTGTACTGCGACGTCAATGTCAAGTAAGTGATTATAATAATATATTGAATTTATTGTAATCATTTCTCATTTGTAGGTTCATAACAATTCTAAGAAAACTCATATTATACCAATAACATTGGTACCAGTAATGTGCCATCTCCATCAGCATCAAAGCATTACTACTTTGTGGAAAGGTTTAGGTTCGACATTGTTGATTCGTGGGATGCATAAAGGTGTTGAAGATTTAATTTCAAAGGTTACCCCATGGCCAAAGTAATTGTTTAAAGTAAAACTGTAATTTGGATTGTATTATTTTTTTTATGTTTTTAGGGAAATCACTTGGTATAGTACATTGAAGCAATTCTTTCAGCATGCTTTACTGAAATGGTAATTAAAAAATAAAAATAAGTTTAAAATATTTAATTAATTTGTATTTTGCAGTGTAACAATTGCTGTTGTGACACCATTCTATTCAGCATCTCTAGTTGAAACAGTTCAATCAGACATAGCTAGTGAGAAACCTGGATTATTTGATATATTTAGGGAAGGTTTTATGAGATTGTTAACTTGGAATGGTAGTTCCAAGGGGAGGATGTTACCAATTTGGGCTCTTGTACTACCCACAGTTACTTTAGGTATTGCAAGATATTTTGTGCAGATGGTAGTGGAAGGAAGTGCCTCTAGGTTGATGTTAGTCAGATATAGGAATAAGCAAGAAAGTACCGGAGCTTTACCGAGAAATATACCAAATACAGCTGAGATCGAATTCAACGCTGCGTTAATGGGTACAATTGCTGGTGATGTACTGTTTTATCCGTTCGAAACGATCCTGCATCGTCTTCATTTACAAGTACTGAATTGAACATTTGTAACAAGCATATAGTCAATAACTGCAATTTTCAGGGTACGAGGACTATAGTTGATAATTTGGATACTGGTAGGTCGGTCTTACCAATTTTAACCAACTACCACGGTCCAGTCGATTGTTACGAAAGTTGCTTGAGAAACGAAGGAGTGTTTGGTTTGTACAAAGGATTTGGGGCTTTAATATTCCAATACGCTGCACACATCGCCGTTATTAGGATTACCAGATTTATCCTGACTGAAGTGACGACGCTGATGCATAAGCCTCAAAAGCCTCTGCAACCACCAACAACGAGCTCACCACCTGTGATCACCAACATAAGTGTTCCCGGACAAACTTACCTTTTCCCTTAAAGCAAAAATTGTTTAGTAGTCAAAACAAATTTAGCTGAAAGGTGAACATTTTTTTGTAAAAAAAAATATATTTAGGTTTTTACATAACTCATTCTTTCACTTATTCTAAATGTGAAAATACGGCTTTATTTGATTGACTAGTAAATATGGTTTATTAGCTTTGCAAGTTCTACTTACTTCGTCCTATTTGTTTCCTTATATTTGTTGTGAATAATAAAATTATTTCAAATTATTTAATAAAGCTCTGTTTCTCCTTTTAACTCTTCTTTTATTTATTTCATCAACTTTCATTAAAATATTCAAGTTTATCTATTAGTAGCAGAATATTACAAATAAAATAGAAGTTCAAGAAAATGAAGATATAAAAGTGCTAGAGTTGATAATTAATTAGTGCATTAATGTAATCTAAATGGTCTTTTGTCTGATAATGGTAAAATACCAGTTGCTGGGTGCAAAGAACAAAAGGAGTGGTTCTCGCGCATGTCCACAGATTCGGAGCATTACCAAGCTACACAGGCATCCATTGGTCCGCACACAGTCGCAGCAACAACAGCACCTCCTCCACAACAAATCTCGCAAATAAGTAAGCTATCTTTATGAGGATTATCCAAAATTAACATTTATCGTATTGTAGTAAAATCTTCATCAGCGACACGCTCGACTTTAACAAGAAGGATGATAACGACGAAGGTTAAGACAAATGCAACAAATACGAGTTGGACGAATCCAGTAGAACTGTTTAGAAGATGCATTTACCATAAAAGACGCCGGTAACACTAAGATAATAGACGGTGAGTGTATCCCTAAAAACTAGAACAAGACAAATTGCAGATCACAAGTTAATAACTATTAAATATATGCACTAACGTATTTTAAATCAGAATTATAATTTCAATAATGATGGTAAAATTGTAGAATACAGCGGATATTTATGTTCTGATTAGAGAATGCGATCTCAGTAGGAGCCAAGGACTACCGCTTATTCTCGTCCGCAATAGATGATAACACCCTGGACTTAGAATTTATAATCAATTAGTCTGCATGGACAATAGACTATTAGTAGGAGCTGCTCAAGAACTATACTTACTCCCGCAATATATGCGAATACTCAGGATTTAGAATTTAAGAGCAATTTGTCTTGATTATCATGAACTGCCTATATCCATTTGCAATAGACGCGTACATCCTGAATAAGAATTTTCAAGCAATTTGTCTATTACAAACATCATCCTCAATAACATATGATGATTAATTAGGATATTATGAGATGTGTGACGATAACTATTAAGAATTCCGAATATTTCAGATGAGAAGAGAAAGACTATCACCAAGTTTGCACGTCTAACAAAATCTTCAACTTTGCAAGTAATAACTTGCATTTGGAGCGGATTTGAGGGAATTATCCAGTTGAAAATGATTGATAGATGTTAAAAAGTCGTTTTAGAAACGTCCACATAACTATTACAAAACAATATCTCAGAACCACAACGCCGCAATCTTATTAGAATTCAATAAAAAGATCAGTTCTTCATCTACCAGAATACTCACAAGACGAATTATTACTTTCGAATGCTATTTGAAGAGATTCCATTAATTATAGTTAAGAGTTGCAGAAATATGAAAAAGATAATTTACTTCAAACATTTTACGAATGACGAATTGTATGGTCCAAAGCAAATTTGATTTAATTCCTTGAAGATTGACTTAATTTTACAAAGAGTAGCTTTGTTTTGAAGATATACATAACAATGAATAAAAATCAACGGCAATGAATAAATAATGCTTTATATGTAAAAAGTAACTACATTTGTATCGAGAAATTAAAAGCTTTCAAATTGAAGACTTTGCATCAAATTGTTCATCAAGATTTTTGCTTGGAACAGTTTAATATTAAATAATGATAAACATTATATAACATATGTTTCTATATAGAATGATGTATTAAATAAGGAATAGAAAAACCGTAGTTCAATAACTTTTCAGGAAGAAATACTGATTAATCTGAGAGTAAATGTTCCATTGAATGTTCGAAAATAAAAATCATCAATGCCTAGCAACCAAATATATAATTCAAATTGGATTGTTCTGTTTCATTTAAACTTTAGATTTATTAGTTTTAATAACCAATTAATACGAAATTGCATGATCAGAAATTCAATATTAAACTTAAATTACTTAATAAGTTGGTGTTTGTAAGTCTTTAATGTATTTTTATCAATTATGACTTGAATCAATTCACTATCAGAATTTAGTATATTGTCTTGAATATTTTCCACAGAAGATGGAAATGGATGCAGTTCAATCATTCCTGACGATGGTTCCTGCAAGTCTTAAATGTCTAACTCGCAGTGAGTTGTATCATTTTAGGATCAAAGCTCGAAATACTGTCTTAGACATTTTAAGCAGAAGAAGATTTTATGATATTGCTGGAAGGATCTGCTCATTCCACATGATGGTTCCTGAAAGTCTTAAATATGTAACTTGCAGTAAGTTGCATCCTTCTAGGATCCATACTCGAAATACTGTCTTAGATACTTTAAGCAGAAGAAGGATATGATCAATTTTCATATTGGTTCTTGTAAGTTATAAGTGTCTAATTCCCAATTGTAAGTTTTACCATTTTCTGATCAGAGCATAGTTTTAATGTTTGGTATATTTTCGTCAGATGGCCGGTATGCAGATTTCAATGGAAAGATACGCTCATTCCATTTGATGGTTCCTGCAAGTCTTAAATGTCTAACTGGCAGTGAGTTGTATCCTTTTAGGATCAAAGCTCGAAATACTGTCTTAGACATTTTAAGCAGAAGAGGATTTTATGATATTGCTAGAATGATCTGCTCATACCACCTGATAGTTCCTGAAAGTATTAAATATCTAACTTGCAGTGAGTTGGATCCTTCTAGGATCAATACTCGAAAGACTCTCTTAGATACTTGAAGCAGAAGAAGGATATGGAGATTTCAATAGCAGGATATGATCAATTTACATATTGGTTCTAGTAAGTTATAAGTGTCTAATTGCCAATTGTAAGTTGTATCATTTTCTGATCAG